ATTTGGTTTGGAATAGTCTGAAAAAATGCTAGCTGAACAGGATAAATTGATGTAATGCCATGCCGGTTTTAATGGAAATAATTTGGCATGCCGTGGTCGCTTTATTATCTGCTGTAGTAAGTGCATGACTTCAGACATCGGTTTCATGGCGTATTTCACCGTCCACTGCACGTTTATATTTATGGGACCATTGGGCAGTTGTTCAGTGGCATTTGAGCACGCGAAATGTTAGATATCTGAAATCATTTTTTCGTTGAATCATTGTCTTGCTCGTCACGAGCGATTGGATGAATACCAGTTGGCTGGTGTTCCTTCTGTGCTGCCGCTGAACATTCTTATCCCCATTTATGCCAATAAGGAATGGTTCCTGACAGTATATAAGTAATGCTTCACCAAAACGAATTTTGCGTCTATGCTAATTGTCTACGTTAATTAATTATTTCAATGTTTGTACTTTACACGCCTCTTTCAACATCGACCTGTTAAGGTTGCAACCTTGGAAGAAAATAATCAAATGGAACACTACTTCCCGGTGCTTGACAATTGGACGGCAGAATTCTGCATAATCAAATGGTGGTCGAGTTTGGGCGACGTTGTTTTAAGTTACAGCATCACTTTCTATGGCATAATGGCTGTGCCGCGCGAAATCACACTGGTAAGTGGGCGGTGAGTTTCCCACATTGTCAAAATTCATTGCATATAATTTAGTTCAGCGACAGTCCCGTCACTCGTATTGATGTAACTTCTCCTTTTCGACATGAAGAACTGTCACCAAAATTAGAGCTGAAAGATTTGGTGCAGCCATTAAGGTACCGTCTTTTTGGGTGTACTTGTTTCCTCGTCGTGTAAAGCCTAACCAAAGTATGGACAGCGGAACTGCTAAGATACATCATGTCTGACTTGACGAAAATGTTCGGATTTATATATTGCTGATTGATACCTTATACTCAATGCTGTTAGTTTTTTAACTTTTTCTGATATGGAAAAAATACAGTTTTCTATACTTTGTTGCAAAATATATATCATTCCTCTGCTCAGAATTAAAATTTCTCTTCATTGAAAGGAAGTAATACTACTGTAATGAATAGATTAAATGCTAATATTTGTATATTTATTGTGTTAGCCTCTCCGCGGCTTTACCTGATATTCCTGATCCATAAAGTTGAACGATGAATAATGTTTTTGGCACACAATTTCTTTTGTTTACCGATCTTCTCATTAATTGCTCTGTATGACTTTTTGATTGTACTCTCTATTGCTGGCTACTTTAGACCTGCCGATAGCAAAATCAGTGCCTTGGGTCCAAGAGACTTGTTTCAGGACGGACAACAGATCTATGAATTGATTCTCACTTATTACTTCACCGTTCATAAGACATGTGAAGTGACGCCGACGTTTCCGTTACTGTCCAGTTTTTTGTACGAAAATGAGTACCACAGTCACCTTTGGATGGTGTTCGATTCAAACGACCAGTACATTTTCGCCGGCGAGGCGTATCCAGCTAGAGTAAGAGTTATGCTCCATTTTGTTGCTTTGTCCCGCCGCGCGTGGAAGTACATTTTTCTGCGTGATGTGTTACAGTGCAGTTCTGATTTTTCATAGAGATGATTAACACCCACATTACGGAAACAGCAGCATTGATCGTACCTCCTGGTTTATGGTGAATTGTAGCAGTCCATCTCACTTTCGAGGTCTGATTGACGGAACTACAACAGTACCAACTGTAACAGTTACAGTAGTAAAAAGAAATAGGTGTAGCTGACGTGACTGACACGTATATTCTCACGTTGTTATTCACAATATGTAACAATGAAAACGCAACTGATTATTATTTATTTAGCGCAGGATTACATAACATCGCGTTTCGCAGTAATTCATGCTCGTTTAAACGATTGTTGGTTTGGAATTTCACAAGTAGCCATGCGTAGTCATTGAGCCGGAACAGAAATTAACTTACATAAAGAAGTTTGAGATCATTTTTTCACGTTCATATTTACGCAAGCAGATTAAAAATTGTTGAGTTTATGCAAGAGGTGCTGCTGTATGATTATGTAATTACTGTCGAAACTTATAATTACTCCGTTCATCACAACAAATTACGTCAAAAGCGCGGACCATGAAGCTTCATTTTTGTTCATGCTTTCTGATACACTGTACAATGCTTTATTAGATGTTCCGGTTCAGTGCCATTATGTTTAAAATCACATTTGTATACTTTTAAGAACGCTTCGTTTCAGAGCGTACAGTAGCTTGCCATTCATACATACATGCAGTAGTCTGTCATTCAAACACCGTAAGAAAACAGATTTTGTAATTAATTGTTGAACTAACGACTACGCAGTGTGGTCTTGAATAAGAAATAATTAGATGAGCATTATGTAAGAGTGAAAACAGCAAATTTTCCTTGTTAGTCAGCAATGCTTTCCTGGAGAGCCACGTCAAATAACAAAACAGCCATGCCGTTTTGGTCACAAAATGAACCCCGCTGCTTTTCGAACACCTGAAGGTTTTACAAGGACATACCGAAGTTTTCCAACTTGTAATCTAACTTGTTTCGTTTGGTCGTTCGTCTTTTGTTGCTAATGATGTTTTCGTTATTGTCAGTATTCTCGCAAGTTGGAAAAGGGCGATTACAAGCTGGTGGCACAGATTAGGCACGATTGCCAGGCGATGCTTGAGAAAGTACGCGATCTGAATGTGGCCGTTTATCACCGCCTGGAAATTCCGCTCAGCCTTGACTTCTACTCGAGCTGGTGTTCAGCGATCAGCATCGGCGAAAAGAAGTTCAAGAACTTAACCATTTCGCCCGGTGATACCATACCTCTTTACATTGCCGGCTTGTCGGAAGACAGGTAAATACGCAAATGATGTTCGTTCTGGAAGTGAATGCGCCTTCTGATTTCGTGGTTACCAGCACGAAAGCGTTCTTTATCACAAATCTTACGTTTGGCTGAATTCACATCGGTTATCGTCAGGGAAATTCAGATGTTTACCTATGCTAATTTGATAGAAACGTCGAATATATTAACATATTTTGTCTTTTGCCCTGTTAACCGTGGAATCAGAAAACGTATGTATCAGCTATTCCAGTCATCCGTGTTGGTACCACTTAAAGAATTTATTTAAAAGTTCAGAATGATATTCACGTCAGTCCTTTCCTTTCGAACTTTTCACATGTTTTTTTACTCCTGAATAATTTCGACAAGAGTATGAGTGCATTAACTCAATGTAATAGGTTCGAACTGTCTTGGTTCAAGCTGCATAATATCTCAGTAGTTTGCATTTTCAGACATAACAAGTTAGTATTTCCGATTTTGTCGTAATTAAGATCGGTTTAAATTTCACCATCGTTTACCTGCAGGTCAATAAAGGTTTAACGAAGACCGGTATCTTAACAGTTAACAAACTTTTGCGTTTTTTGTCTGACGATATGAAATTCTAATCTTGCGTTTCTGCCGTGAAAGTTGAGATTTTTTGAGTAGTGTTGAAGTTCGATTTGCTGAAAGTATCAATATTTTGCTGTTTCATAACTATGATAGCTTCTTTGTTTTATACAAAACTCCAAAACATGAGTACTTGCAGATTTAATAGAATATGATTTTCGTAAATGAGTTTAATCTGATCTGGATAACTGTGAAACGTTTTAAAAACGTTTGGCCGTCGGCTTTTAGCTGTCGCCTTCCGCTTTCTCACATTTCCTTGGGGAGTAACGTTGACCACTTCAGTCTGCAGAACAAAATGAGACCTGATGCAGTTGTGCGGGAGGAGAGCACTCCACTCGGCACACTCTGGACGCTGCGCCTGATTGTTGTCGTTTCATGCATGTGAATGATCATGTATTTGTTTTACTGAGTAAACCGTGGCATTTCTTCGCTTTAGCATGCCGAAAAACTGTGAGGCAGGTTGGTATTTGTCCGGGCAACTAATCCTCGGAAAATCAGAGTACGCTAAAGTCGCTCAGTTCCCGGTCAAGTATGTCATTACGTCGATCGCAAGAAGATCGAAACGAGTCATTGTCGCGCGCAGAGATGATCAGAAGAGCAGGTCGCTTGGTGGTAGCAATTGATCGTTTACCGGCTAGCCGGCCCGTGCACTTTAAGGAAAGTTTTTTGCACAATTCTTTATTTAGAAGCCGTCAGAGACGTGAAGATTGCGTGGATTTCTAGGTTAAACGATCCTCTGGCGGATCTGCTGTATAAAGAACTGGTTGAACTATTTCCAGACCATATCGAAATCTATTTTTCACGCATGAAACGTCTCATTGGAAAGGTATCATTTATGAGTGCTTATTGCTTTTTGTAGCTTTCGTTCTCATCTGACGCCGCATGCATTATTTTCCTTCATATTAATGATTTGTTTCTCACTTGTAGATTTTTTTCCGTATCTAGTAATTTGTCCGTCGCCAGTTCAGTTGGATTTACGTTTTTGTCTGTGGTACAGACGCTGATTTGCTTTATAGGATAGAACCGTCGGATTTTCTAACGGAAAGCTGATTTTCGGCCTTTCTCTCCTGGTTACTGATGCAGCATTTTAAGGCTCAAAATGTCTTTCAGATCTGCTCATCTGTGGGGGTGGATAATTTGAAGGACAACCGTTTTATGCTTCTTGCACGTGGAGTTAACGTCGTTACGAGTTTAAACATTTCTGTACTAGTAAACACTTATTCTTTGGGCCTTTAAGTGTTTACTGTCTATCCAGGGCGTGAAGATTCAGTGTATTTCCAAGCGAAATATCTCCCACGTGCAACGCCTAGCAGTACAACCTTAGAGGGAGTGCATAAAATGAGCTGCAAAAATAACTGTCGCAAGTACTGCAAGAATTACAGTCACGGATCGTGAGATTATATTGGCTACAACAGACCGTCAGTGTCAGAATGGCTGCATAGAACGTTTGGTTTGTACCTGTTGCTGAACGTCGACTGCTTTTAGAATGCTTTTAAACACCGTAAGGAAATTATTCAGCTTGCGGACATTATCATTGGCAAGGTCGATCGCACGAGCTTGTTGCAGTTTTATGGGACGAAGTTGGATTTGTCACCCGAAGCTGCTAAAAGCAAAACGTAAGTGTCATATAACACAGTTACGCGCTTTTGTGGAAACGGCTTTTCTAAACAGTGCTTGCACGCAGTGTGGTTGTCAGCAGCATGGATAATTTTTCAGTGTATGAAGCGTGTATTAGAAAATAAGGTCTAACGCTAGCAATATATCAATGAGCATGTTTCTATCTTCCAACTTATACAGCATTACTGCACTTAACGTTGCTCCTTAGAGTGATATCAGAGAGCAGGGTGGTGCAGTAGCACTACACAAGCTTCCGGAAGTATGTTTATTAACATATTCTACACCTGGTGCTACAAAAGTACCTAAGGAGTACCAGTTCATGGAACACGGTTGGTAATACAACAGTGCACGAATAACTAAAATATGCGGAATGCCTTCCCGTATTGCAGGGAAACGATATCAATATGGAGTCTCTATATTGAAAAGATATCGTTTCAAGGTGCTTAGAAGCGGTTTTGTAAGTCAAATTTGTTGCTACTGTGTATTCAGAAAATCTGAGTTTATGTCCCTGTAAGAATAGAAAATATTTATAGGCCATGTCGTCATTTTCTAAGGTTGAATAGCGTAGCTGTTCTGACTAACTTGATTTAAATTGTTCAAATTTCTCTTAGGTGTCGCTGGGCGAGGTGGTTAAGGTCGTCTGTCGTTACGACTATTGAGATCAGGTAAGTAAAGTTAGATCTTTCCACCTTGACATAGGACTTACCAAACTTGCATTGGGCCTGAGTGCATGTCCTAAACGATTGTCTTCCGTAAAATTCCATTCGTAAGTTTTATTTTTTAGAACTAATATTTTCACGTCTCCATCGTCACTCGATTCATATAACTTTTTTCTAAGATTTTGAAGTTCAAATTGCTTCCTTCATTTGGTAGTTGGTAACCCCGTTGTAACGTTTTTTAAAAGTTGTCGCAGACAGCATAGCTGAATTAATTATTTATTTACATATGACATGGTTGACCTGTCGGTCGTCAGGCACAAGACTAGCAATCAAAAGTTCGCAGGTTTGAATTACAGCCAGCTCATTTAACTTCCACCTTTCTAGCATCGGCAGCATTTGGAAGCATGACGAAAATTTCAACAGAGCTTAAGTTTTGCAATAAAAGTTTATATCTCCGCGTCATCAGTTGGCACGGATCATTTCTATGGCTTATAGACAGTGGCATTTTGAAAGTTCATGGGCGTTGTCTAAACGTGTCCTAGCTCCTAACTGGTTTCTGCAGACGTTTAAGGAATCATTGGTCAAACGGAATAAGTGAAACGCTGTTCACAACAGTAAAAATTTCACGTCCGTGTTGCAGGCAGTTGTAATACCGCTGGCTAATCAGTCGGATTCACTTTTATGAACCCATCCACCCCCCCTCTCTTTAAGCGGAGGCTAGCGCCAGATATCAAAAGACATGCATCATGCAGCCCTGCGTCGCTAAGGAGTATTTTCTTCGCTGAATGCCGTCGAGCGGACATTAATTTAAGTCTCATCTCTCTTGACATGGAGCCAGACGATAAAACGCAACAGTGTGCATCAGAAGTGATCGAGTAGCCACAGTCTGTCTACCATGTAGTATTTAGAGATATTGGCTAACAGCGTAGTTGGAACGGTTCACTGCCGTGCTATAGACTCTGTGAAAGAATGGCGTTCATAGGTGAAAATT